CACAATCAGCTCTGAGGGCTTGTTCATAAAATGATTATAAACGTCCACTGAAGAAGCTAAGAGGTTATTAATTGATCTCCCTACATTTACAAACATGCCTGTTAAAAAGAGCTTCAGGATGATTCCTTCCTCTGATAGCGACATGGGAGAATTAGACAGCCTTTGCTTTAAGGAGAACTTTGTGATAGTCCAACAGACGCCATTTGCACCTGTAGCTTCCAAGGATCGTCCACTTTTAATACGCTTGGTTCAGAGCCTAGGAGAATAAAAAGTCAACATAGCTACACTCATTTACAACAATTGAAAATCTGGCCCATATTCTAGAAAGGTGCCATCTTGTGTAAAATAACATGCAGCTGCCATGGAGGAGGAAGATGAGTGTTGTCTATTCCTAATCTATCTGCACTTGGGCCAAATCCTGACATGGTTGTAGCTGGGAGAGGAAACAAGGCTGCTATGCATCTTCTGCCCCAGGACTGCTGCCAGCCCGAGTTCTATTAGCCAGGCCTGGGCACCATGCAGTGCAGTTTTCTGCTTCAGTGTATACTACTAGCTAGTGTGTCCATGACTGCAACACAAGCAGTAGCTGGTTGGACAGTAGATGGGGCATATCCCCTAACTAGAAAACCAAGCCCTAAGGTGCATGGACTGCATTGTGCTCTCTGCAGTGCCCTGCTGCTTGCACAGAAGGATGAGATTCCCTATACTCCTTTCCTCCTCTCTCCTTGCGCTCCATCATGGGGCAGGTGGTAACTGTTCATATGCACTGTATGTGTACAAGATTTCTTACCTCCTTTTTGTGCCAAAGGAATTTTTGGTTTCAGAAAGATTTAGAAATTGAAATGAAATGGTCTCAAACTGTCAATTTAAAAACTAATGCATTCAGAGGCTAGTAACACACTGTGTTGATGATATTAGAAAATATAGGAATGGGTGCCCCAGAAACAAACAAGTCAAAAACCCAGAGATGGTCTATCCTTTCCATTCTATCTATCCCCCATCTCAGTAGCTAATGCTGAAACCTTCAGATGCAGGCAAGAGAGAAAAAGAAAAGTGCACCCAACTGTGTACAGTACAATTTGTACCTTAGAGAAAATGTCTTCCTAACCCCAGCTGGTGATCAGGTTCTGCCCTGAAGTCTGAGGGTTGATTGTCCTAGTAGCTAATTTTACCCTAACTGCATGCACTATTATTGTTCATATAGGGGTCTTACTCCTTTTTTGAGTATTATACTGTGGCAATGTGTTTCAGAGGTGAGTGATACCTGTATACAATGAGTACTTCCTTATATCCGTTTAAAATGTATTGACTCCTATTCTTGTATTATGGAATAGGAGCTTCTATAGACCATTGAATATTTTATACTTCTATCATATTTCCTCTTGCTCATCTCCCTTTTAGACCAAATGGCTCTCGTTTGTAGCCCCTGTGACCCCACACTAGTAAATCAAATGGCACCTTTGGCCCCACACTTGTAGCCCTTTTCTGAACCTAATCTAATTCTTCCATATTACTCTTTATCTCATTCTTAGTACAGCCAGCTGAAAATCGGACAGCTTAAAATCTTAGGCTTGTGGGTACATCCTGTCCTCTGCTGCACTAGGGTAGGCAGGAATGAGGGACAGAAGATGATACAGAAAGACTCTTCCACTGAGCAGAGTCAGAGAGGATACTTCCATAGGGCACAGGAGAATCCAGGTACAGCACTACCTGAACACTATGCTCTAAAGATCTGAGAGCTAGGAGGATGTCTAGCCTTCCAACCAGCCAAGTGTGCATGCTACAGTCAGAAAAGCTGTGAAGTACTTCCCCAGCCCATGATCCTACTCTGCCTGGTAGAATCCTGCCCCGGCCTAGAGAAAGAACTAAACAGCATTTCTGTTCCCTCTGACTGCACTAGCCAAAGGAGGGTTTGGTCCTTAATCACTTTTTTGATTGCTGCTGCACATTAAACAGATGACTTAATTAAACTGTGCAGATTATTCAGAGGGAATTCAGACAGAACCAAAAACTGATATTTCATCTCATTTTCAAGAATCAATTCAGGGCTAACCCAAGTATGTATATAAATATTGTTTATTCTTTTATCTACAAAATATGACTCCAAGACTACAAAGTGTTACTAATGTGAGTAGTCCTATCGGCTTCAATGACCTTACTCAGGTAAGTCAGGCTTGCCAAATCAGGCATATAAATATTAGAACTGTAAACATTGAAATTTAACAGTTCTATGTGTTTTCAGTATTTTTACCCAATAAAGCCCAGCTAGAGTAACAGCAACATTTTTTAAAGTCCTGTAGCAATTCCCAATCCACCAATTGGAAAAGGATGAAAATTCTCCCCTGAATCCTCTTTGATGGCCCTTCTGGAAGTAGTTCTACTTCCTCTCGGGGGGAAAAAAGTCTCTATTATTTTTCTTCTGCAATTTTATGTATCCCACAAAACTGGCAATCAGTGTCCCAAAGGTACATGAATGGATTTCAATTTGCCACCTATAAGTTAGTGGCTATAAACTAAAATGATGATGATTTCTTTAAAAATAAAATGGAATCCTTGGCTAAGTACAGTGCTACCTTCTATTGGCCTGATTCTCCAAACACATACACATGGGTAACTTTATTCACATGAATATTCCACTAACTTCAGCTGAACATTTTTATACCCACTTGTAAATGTTTTGGGGAAAGAAGCCCAATATTTGTAAAATCAAAGACTTGGTGGATGTAGCAAGAGTTCTGTGTAATTCTTCTTTTAGACACATTTCAATGCTGAAGTTGGGGGGGGAAAGATTTCTAATTACCATCAGACTACACAAAAGCTGCAACAGCCAAAAGTGCTCACTATCAATGCAATGTATCCAATTTGCCAACTTTACATTAATTGTCTGTTAATTGCCATTGCAGTATTACTTGTTAGACAGTTAAAACTATTCTAACAGTCAGGGCCAGCTCTGGCTTTTTTGCCGCCCCAAGCAAAAAAAAAAAAACCCGCGGGGTGGCTGGAGCGGCAAAGCAAAAATAAAAAACCGTGCGGGGCAGCGGGAGCCAGGGTGCAGGGGAACTCCCTGCACTGCAGACATGCCCCGGGCAGCGGAGTGTGCGCCCCGGCTAGTGGGGGAGGGAGCGAGGGGGGAGAGAGAAGGGGGCCAGAGTTCCGCATCACTCCGGACGGCGGGCAGGGAAGGACGCGGGCTGCCCTGCCAGGCTTGTTGCATATCTTCCCTTAAAAACTCCAGCCCTGTTTGACTGTAAACCACATTTTGTTGGGGGAGATTCTGGATGGCCCTTATATGGCTGTACAGTGGTATTGGAGAGGGATAAAGGGCTTTCACCCTTATTCCTTGTCTGATTTTAATTATGGGCCAAGCAGAATTGTGTCCCTGCTGTCCAGGGAGCTCCAGAACTTTTCCATTCCTATGTCCCTGTGGACCCTTGACACCCCACAGCGGGTGGGGAGGAGACCATGCCAGTGCTTTGACACTACTGTTCACTGATCCAGTGAAGCTGAATAAGCTGCATCTTCCAGAGGGTTATGGCAATGGGTGCACTGCCTCTGCAAACATAGAATGCTCTTGGAACTCTTGTCTCCCAAGGAGGAATACCTGCCATTGCTCCCTGGGGAGCAGTGTAATGCCGCATTGCCCTGTATTAAGGTTTGTGGCTAAATGGCACAGACTAGCCCTTTGCCTTATGGAAAGCATAGGCAACAACTGTGCAAATGACACTTGCTTAACGTTTCTTACTTGAACTTATTGATTAAAGAGTTCTCTAACCAAGCCAGTCTAATCAAAGCAAAGAGGCTGTTTGCAGTGGTATAACGCCATTCTTCTCCAATGGAGGTTCTCCTGATCAGGCAACTATGCAATTTGATGAGTAAAGTGAATTCAGTCTCCTAAAGTGAACACTGAGCCCCTTAAAGAAAGATTTTTATGACACATAGGGATGACTAGTTAACTTAAAAAACCTAAAATAAAATTCCATAATACAAGCATTTTGTTGTTGCATTTAGGTCCTGATCCAGCTTCCAAGGAAGCTAATTGAAAGGTTCCATTGACTTCAATAGGAGTTGGATCAGGCATTTTAAAAGCCAAAATATTGAGACATTAAACATATATATATATATATATATAAACACATGATAAAAATTGTAATGCATGACATATCTCAGTGTTTCTCAATGACTAGTTCATGGACCAGTGCCAGTCCCTGAGATCTCCCTGACAAAGTTTAGGAAGGCAGCAAGCCGGTCCACTGAAATCTGGTTTGAATGGGCATTTATTCTAAAATTAAAAGTTTGAAATCATTTATTTTAATTAATCTACAGTTCAACATTCTGATCTATATTCTACAGTTTGTAGAATATTTATATCGGCACATTTAACTGAAATCATACCAATGGAATGCTATGGATGAAGCATTTAAAGTATTGCAATATTTTTACTTTTTCGATGAGAAATATAGCTGTGAAGATACCGTTTAATAATCTTGAACCTACCATTTAATAACTGTCATTAAAAATCTATAGATCCACACAGCAAGAATGCTGTTTAATGTGGCATTGCTGGCCCTACAATTAAATATATTAAGTTTGATTGTATTTTAAAATGGACATGGTCTAGCTGGTTTCTCTTATTGCCAAATGTCACATAGATTTCAAAAATGTTTAGTGTTGCCATGTAATGGATTAAATGATAAATTCTGTTTTGAAAGCCATAGTAACACTATTCCCTCCTTTTTAGACACTGCCAGGAGCCATGGGGAACAAAGCAGGATTTTACAGCACATTCAGGCCTCCTTCAGGATTTGGTTTCCGATGAACACATGTACTTTTTCCTGTCAAATGATACCAAAACCTTGGTAGTTTACATGTTGAGCACATCCTCCCTGTCTACAGTCCCAGCTGATAAAATGTACACTCACTAATGATTCTGTTGGAGATACAAATATTTTTCTGGATCTGAAATTGGATTTTTTGTGGGGAAAGGTTAATATAAATTGCTCTCCATGGTTTCTGCCCTTTTAAAGAGCCTGATCTCATCTTACATATATAAGATTTACAAAGGAATGTTTACAAAGAAATTGGGAAATAGTACAAAAAAGAAAGAGAGTTCTCAGAGCAAAAAGGAACAAGACTTAACCCAGGTTGGACAGACAAAGAATCCAAAGTTTTCAAATACTTTGAAAAGCACCGTTAAAAAGATTGCAAAGTGTCCATCTGCTCGCAACTTGTCAACTGAAGAAGAGGAAGGTAATAAAGAATTTTCACTTTCTCCAACATTCAGTTACAGAGTTGCTATTGCCAATGGACTACAAAAGAGTATTTTTGTAACAAACAATAATAATGAGGAATTATTTCAAGATATCTCTTCAAATGATAGTTCGTATTCTGAGTCATTAAGTGAAGTAAAGAGTAGCAGCAGGAAAAAGGAGTATTTATCACATACAATGCCTGTGAGACGCAACAGAAAGAGTTTGAGCAGTCTTGCTCCATCAGATGGGAGTTCTGATGGCGAACGTACTTTGCATACCCTAAAGCTAGGAGCTTTACGAAAACTAAGGAAATGGAAAAAGAGCCAAGAGTGTGTCTCATCGGACTCAGAGCTGAGCACATGGAAGAAAACATGGGGCCTAAGAAGCAAGTCGTTAGACAGAACTGGTCGTCACCAGAAATCCAATGCCCTGGAACCAGGCTTTAGTTCAACTGGGTGTATTAGTCAAACGCATGATGTTATGGAAATGATCTTTAAAGAACTTCAGGGAATCAGTCAAATTGAAACAGAACTTTCTGAATTAAGAGGACACGTAAATGCTCTGAAACAATCCATTGATGAAATCTCTAGTAGCGTAGAAGTTGTACAAAGTGAAATTGAACAGTTGAGAACTGGATTTGTACAGTCACGAAGGGAAACTCGAGACATACATGACTACATTAAACAAATAGGCCACCCAGGAAACAAAGCAAGTCTTAGGTTTTTAAATGTGACTGAAGACAGGTTTGAAAATATTGAAAATGTGGTTTACAGAATTTTAATAGACAGAATGGGGTTCTCAGAGGCACAAAACACGATTAAAATTGAATTGGCCCATAGATTAGGGCAACAAAGAGACTGTCCCAGTGCAAAGCCTAGACCTATACTTGTATACTTTGAAACAGCACAACAGAGAGATTTAATTTTAAAAAAATCTTATAAACTTAAAGGAACCGGCATTGGAATTTCTACAGATATCCTTTCCCATGACATGAGAGAGAGAAAAGAGAGAGGACTGCCTTCCTCTCAGACATATGAAAGTATGGATATGAAACCAGAGCCAAAAACTAAAAAACATGACTGGGTATCACCTGATGACAGTGATAAAGAGCTGGAATCCGATATAAATAGGAATAGTTATGCAAAGATATCAAAATCAGCATTTCAGATAAAAGTGAGCACTACAAAGGGAAGTGTGGAGTCTCCAAATACCAGAATCCAAAGTAGGACTGTTGATGGCAGCATCTTTCCAAATAAAACAAATTATGGTGAACAGTCACCAGAATTTGACAATGTGGATAAGCAATCAAAGACCTACTATTCAGATATGCCACCTGTTTGGCATTCACAGAATGATTTTACAACTCCTAAACTTAGCCGTTCGGAGTCGGATTTTTCAAAATTGTGTCAGTCTTACTCTGAGGATTTTTCTGAGAATCAGTATTTTAGTAGAACTAATGGCAGCTCACTATTGTCTTCCTCGGATCGAGAGCTTTGGCAGAGAAGGCAAGATGAAACGTGCAACTGGTATGGTAGCTCACAAGATCAGACTTTTAACCAAGATATGCAGCCTTATCCAGAGCAAAATGAAGCTGAAAACACTGAAACAGTTGACAGTGGTGTAAGCAATGGAATAATGTGTGTATCTGGAGACAGAAGCCATTATAGTGATTCTCAGCTCTCCTTACATGATGATCTTTCACCATGGAAAGACTGGAATCAGTTAGATCAAGGCACAGACTTGGGCCTAGATTCATCCACACAAGAAGCTTTTGCTTATGATATGAGCACCCCTTCAGACCAACAAATAGATTTTGGAAAGTGCCAAAGTTCTGACCTCCAGGATGACACTGAAAGCTATGACTTTACCCTTGATGGTAATTCTCCATCATGTCCCGGCCTCGACAGTGAAACACAAAGTCAGTGGATCAGCCAATATGATGATTATCAGGAAACAAATTCTAATTCCCTTTATCAAAATCAAAACAGATTGCCCATGATGTATCGAAGTCAAAGTGAACTACCAAGTGATGAATCGGAGGAAGCACCTCCTAAATCATGGCATAGTCGACTAAGTATAGACCTTTCTGACAAGACATTCAGCTTTCCTAAATTTGGATCTACACTTCAGCGTGCTAAATCAGCCCTGGAAGTGGTCTGGAACAAAAGCACACAAAGTTTAAGTGGATATGATGATAGTGGGTCATCTTTTATGGGGAGATTTAGGACTTTATCCCAGTCTACTGCTAATGAATCAAGCACAACACTCGATTCTGATATTTATACAGAGCCTTGTTATTACAAAGCAGAGGATGAGGAAGATTTAAGTGAGCCAGGTGGTGAGAATGAAACAGATTACGTAGAAGTAATGGAACAAGTTCTTGCTAAACTAGAAAATAGAACTAACACAAATGAAACTGATGAACAGGTTCAGGAGTATGAACTTGAACAGTTTTCATATGAAACTCCATACGCAACACTACAAGAAGATGAATATGACAAGCAGTTTGACAACCTGACCATCGAAGAAGGGTTGGAACCTGCAGAAGATATAGCTGCTGAAACAGAAATCAGGGAAGATGAAAATCAAAATATCCCAGTGATGCCTATTGAAATGACAAAGAAAAAGAGAATACGCCCATCATTTAAAGAAGCTGCTTTAAAAGCCTACAAGAAGCAAATGAGTGAGTTGGAAGAGAAGATCCTTGCTGGAGGTACTGATTAAATATTGTCTAGTAAACAAACTTTGCTGTCATAATTAAAGATTACCCTTATTTTCAACATAGGGCCCAATCCTTCTCCCATTGAATTCAATGACAGAATGCCCATTGACTTCAGGAGGAACAGTTATTAGACTCTTTAATAAAATTCATATTTTTCAGTCTTGGGGTGAAATCCTGGTCCTACTGAAGTCAATGAGAGTTTTGCAGTTGACTTCAGTGAGGCCAGAATTTCACTCTTAGACTATATTCTGGAAGAATCAGTTGAATACTTTTTTGTTAGCTTTAATATGCCACATAAATGATTTTAAAACTATTTAAATTTTGTATTGTAAATGAATACTGGATGAAAAATCAGCATTGTTTAATTGGGTTAAACTCTCAATTAAGTTGACTATATAGTCTGTTTTTAATGAATACATTTTCACACAACTTTATAAGTAGAATAACTAGGAACAACCAAAGTGTTCTAATATGACAGTATTTTTCCAGCCGGCTTTCATATAGATGATTGGTTTTATGCTCGTCTTGATGAACATGTAGGTTAGATTTCTGAGCAACATAACTTTCTGTGCTATCTTAATTAGTATATAAATCATTGGTCTGAATTCTGGCCTTAGTTAAATTAATACAAGCCCATTGAAGTTAGTTCTGAGATATTAAATAAAAGGGGGAAAAGGTATATGTGATAGCTTCAGTGTAAATGAAAAATATGGGGCTTGTATCATGTTTAAGTCAAAGAGATTGCACAGACAGACACAATTTGGTCTACTAAATTTATTTTCCTTATTAATGGTTCCATACTTAGATATCCTTTCAATGGTTATATGATTTAATTACTGTAGTAATCCACAGAAGAGAGTCCATTTTTAATATTTTGTATTTTGAATCTATTCATGTACTAGAACATTTGCAATTAATTAGGACCACATAATTACCATGACTAGCAGATGGTAATTGTCACCTTAACTGAATCTTTGCTCAGTTTTTAATAGTTGCTATGAAAAAATATAATCTGATACTTTCACTTGAAAGACGAAGAATTGTGCCTTCAGCTAAAGAAATTTATTTTGTAGTAATTAGTGCCTCAGAAGCTTTGAATGCTATGAAGTTTTTTGTACTTAGAAAACTATTTTTATAATAAATGCGCAGTCAAATTGAAAGTATGTTGCACAGCCAAATAAGCACCATTCAACTAGACTTCACGTTGGATTTAAATGATAACACTTATCATAGGTTGGCATTTTGCAGACATTTCTGCAATACTATGCTAGAAACCAGATACTGTATTTATGGAAAATGGGTCAGCAGTTTGACATACATTTTCATTTCTCTCTAGGCTCATTACTATCAACCAAAACTTAAAGACAGTAAAAATAGTTAGTCATGATGCTTAGACACTATTATATAATAGGGACAGGAAAAAGGTTAGAAAGGTTAAGGAAGCTACATATAGAGAACCCAAATTAAAAACCACTGCTAGTAGGCACAGCCCAGGTCTTAGAATATATTCACTAACAAATGAGAAGTTAGATGTGTGTTTTATCTCCTATGATCAGCTTTCTGGAATGCAGAAAAAGTGATCCCTCTCTCACTCCTGCAAGTGAAAGGATGTCCACTGACGGCATTTAAATAGAATAAATCTACTGAAGGCTTCCTCTTAAATAAAAATCTGGTATTTCTATTGTAAATTCTTGAACCATTTCTGACGGTATGTTAAAATCTCACAGAGATAGAATTCTTGTTTTGTGCACCTGGCTATTCGCCAAGGGACCAGTGTGTGGGGATGGGGGCACTGAATCCTATTCCCTGGATAGAGGACTGTAGGGCACAGAGCACTTACATAGTTATGGCATATGAGACCATGGGCTGTAGTTTTGGTCAGGTCTATTCCACGCACCAGGAGGAAAGTGCATGGGAACCAGAAGATCTGTGTAGTTGGCAGACTAGCTGGTGACATTGACTCTACTCCCCTGGCCTGTCCACGACCCCTGTGAGCACAGAGTGAGCCCTCCCAGAGATTGACTCTGCATCATGATGTGTGTTACTTCACTGTTTGGCCTGCTGTTCAGTAACGTCTGAATGGTTCCACTCTTTTGTCCTTTCCCCACCTTCAAAGGGAGGACATGGATTGCACCCATAATTAGTCATTGTTAGTAGTTAGGTGTAGGAGTTCTCAATTCCTGCCCTTTATTGCACCGGGCCATGTTTACTAACAAAACATAACTGCCCATTGTGCTTGGTTTTAATGGTTGATGTAATGTTTTATGTTAAATGGGCTGCTTCACTTGGATCTAAGTGCTTACAATATACCCTGGTTTTAGGTGTTTCTAGAATACCCAGTAGTATTGCAGGAGTCCTGATTTTAAACTTGTAATATATACATAACACTTGGGACTTTTTTATTTGCAAACTTACTTTAAAATGTCTTTCCCTGTCTTTTCCATTTGCTGAGTGACATACTGTATTGTTTCAGCCAAATCTTTCTTGCATTATTTTTCAGTGAGCAGGAAGACGGTGGTACAGTAAAGATTCCATTCCCAGATAAGGGATAGGCATTATTAGAGTACTTTGTATCTATATCTGAAGACGGATGTCTTTTTAATACCATTTTCCCAAAGAAAGAAAACATTAAACTCCAATTTGTGTTTAAATTACATGGAAGTTTTGAAGTAATTTAAAATAAGTATAGGAAACAAAGAACCATATTAAGCTTTATAGCGCTTTGCCAGTCTGCCAATTTTCAACCCCCTTTTGTTTTTTTACAGGCTGATTCTTGCCTGGCCAAAGAGCATTAAAATTCAGTTAGCTAATTAAGCAGGATAGTTTGGGGTATTATATTTATATTTGCAATAACAGTCCTATGTTTTAAAGAAATGTGACTAATTTAGGGCTGCATTACTTCTGTGAATAGCTTGTTGATTATTTTTCCCTGTAACTGTGATTTATATCAACTTGTGATTTCTTGTTTATGGATAAAAGAGTTTTGGTCTCAGTTCAGCTGTTTGAAAGAATCCTTACTATATCACTAGCGCATAAAGCGCACCATTTAAAGATTCTTACAATCTCTTCTTAATGGCCAAACCGATTGATGGATGGCATGCTGGTCAGCCAGAGATACTACTAGATAATATAATAGTATCATTACTCCAAATTGTGCCCACACCAAAGCTCAGATAAAGAGATGCATTCTGTTATTTTCACTCCAGTAACTCATGAGTTAAAGGTCACCAGGGACCTTTGGATATAAATAAGAATTCCTAGTGTTCCCATTTGATGGTTTCATTCTCTCTTTATAGCGAGAGAGATAACATATACAGTGGGCTCACTGCAGATGTATTATTTATTTCCACAAGTTCCTGTTGACCTGCTGAAGTGAGAGTAATCAGATGTATGTATGAGAAGGAAAGTGAATAACACACAGATAATCATGAGATTAAAATTTTTATAAGCACCTCTTGGGGTGTTTTGTACCACAAACTACAGCACTGTGGTTTGTGAAACCATCCAAACTCTAGATGTGTATGCTATATAAGAATAGATGGATTCCAAGAGCAATATCAGGAAAATAATGCCTAGTAGTCCTACTTCAGACAATATTGCATAATCAAGAATTATTTTAGCCCCGTGATTTACTGCTATTTCCTTTCTCCTAACCTGTTAATATTTGTAATAATCTTTTCAGATTTGGGGGCCTACAATGTTTCCTCTCCCCAGGCTCCCTTTCTGCTCCTAACCACATGCTCCCTAACCATTCCCCTTTTCCTTCCTCTCTTCTCTTTTCTGAACCCCTCTCAGAGACGGGCTCGCTGGCCAGTACTGGCCCTCTCCCCACTGGAGCGAACGCTTTGGGGATCAGATCCCAGAGAGCCAGCAAAAGTCTCTGGGAGATATGGGCTATTCTTGCTGCCCCTGTACAGTGTCCTAGATTTCTCTGCCTGCATGAAATATTCCTTACGCAGTTGTCAGTTTCCAGAAAATAATTCATGTTGTTGTTTATCATGTGGCAAAATAATAGCTGATCAGTGCACTTAAAAAACAATCAAATGTTGGGCTGGAGTATCCTCCATAGAGTAATTCTGCAGATGTATCAGGGTGTAGAGTGAATTCCTTTCCCAGCCCTTCCTACACTTCCATAGTGCCACACCACGTTCCTTGGGCCAGACACTGGAGTTGCCACTGTAATTGTCAAGAGAAGTTACCATCTGGCATTAACTTGCAAGAAAAGGGACAAGACCTCAACATCCATGGTTATCGTTTAAGTGGGCTCTTGGGACTGGTGCAAGGGAAGCTGGGAGACTGCCAGAAAATTAGGGCCCTAGCCTGCTTCCTGCCAGAAAAATTGCTCATTGCCAAATCCTGATCCCGAATGGCCAGTGCAGACTTCTCCTTGCAAAGAGGACAGCCCTGCTGATGCAAATCTGGTAGAGGCAGCTTCTGGTGCAGGGGCCACATAAGGGGTGGAACATGGAGGATCAGCATAGCAAAGTTCTACTAAGTCAGAAAAGCAACATAACCAGTGTGTTTCTACTGCACAAAAGGGGAAGACTGGGTGTGGGGGGAACCACATCAAAGATGAGAGTGGGCTGGGCATGGTCAGGCCAGGGGATCTGCTATTGTGTGGGTCCTCCAATTTGCCACTTGAGGAGAAGTCTGAGAGTTCATTAGGCTGGAATCACCTCCGCCAAGAAGCTAGGCATGTGCTTCGCAGGCATGAGGGAGGATTCCTGTCCCCGTCATGCATCTGCTCAGTGCCAGGCCCATATACTCAGACTGGGAACTAGGCTCTGGGTTTGTCTATTCAAATTTTATTTAATGATTTTTTTCACTCTATTAGGAGCTTAGTCAGTCAGACCCTCCCTATGTAAGGAACTAGAGGATTTATGGGAGCTCTGCCATGATCTCTGAAGCCCTGTAAGACTGAAGCCCTGTGGAGTGGCTGTTCAGCTCTGTTGGGTCTCTGGTGCTGCTGTGAGGAGAGAGGAAAAGTAGGT